TAATACTAATACTAATACTAATAGTAACTAATACTTTGAAAAATTGGTCCTACCCCGCCACCACTTATTGCTCCGATTCCGTCGAATTTCCTTCCTACACCCGGTGAATCATCAACTGTATACGCATCAATTTCATATACAGTTATCAAAAATACGATTACTATTAGTATGGCGTTACGAAAACCACACGAGTTTTTGACTTTCAATAATAACATGTTGTGAAACACGCCGGCAACGTTATAATTTATAAACAATGTACAACTAAACAAGTATGTGAGTATACATCTTGGTCATCCATTAATGTGCACACAATTGTGACGTCATTTCAAACGTTGTATCAACACTCTACGCCCACTATATCTGTCAACCAATCACAACTTTCTGCGTAAATTATCTGCGCAATCATAAATCTTTATAAAAAAATTTCAATTTTATTCTCAACCAAGTGTAGGTTAAATCGTCAATAGCCTAATTAATTCAGTTATTATGAAGGAAATTGCAGACAGGGATATTTACTAGAGAATTATACATAGAAGGTATAACGGATATAAGGTATAAGCGGTAAACAGAACGCCACTACCTGGGCCTAGGAATCATTGTATTACCATACTCATTTGTCCCTCTATTAAAACTTGATAGAATAAATTTCCCAATAAGGATATAGGACTCTATATACGTCATATGTAGCCAGACGCGTCGGATATATAGTCGCACATCTACTATCAAACTACAAATGAACATGTGCTATCTATTATAAATAGAAAATGGCAAGCAACTATATAAAACGTTTAGAAATTTACTGTTTGACATACGCGAACGCAGGACATGTACGTTACATTATATATTATGTGTTGTCATGATATGTCATGTTCTGATACTTGCCGGTGCCCTTATATGGAACATAGGTAGTGATGCATCTGCATGAAACTACACTAGCTATATCGACGTTAAAGTTCTATTACGGTTTTATTCACAATAGCCCCAGACCACTACGCCAAACGGACTCCTTTGCTGACGCTGAGGGTGGTCGCTGCAAATGTACTCACTCCCCGTCGGGGAGAAAATTAACAACTCATCGAGGAACGACATGAAAATAATTGCACCTATACAATACAACACATAACAATTCGATATAATCTTACTATAAATTGGGGATTTTCTGTGTGTGTGTCCGGCTATACGTTTCCGCACCGCTCAACGGATCCTCTCCAAACTTGGTCGGAACATTCTACGATCATGACACGTTGCATGGGTTTTTTTTTCTTCACAGTTTTATTTTTTTCACATTCCACGTTCAAAAACATTAAAAAAGTGGGAAATTTTTGCACCGAGAGCGGGGCAACGTCACAACACGAAAACACATTGGCAATGTAAAAAACAATGTATAACCAAAGGCGCTCCATCTAAGATTTTCTAAGTGGCTCCATCTAATCTAACCAAAAAAATGTTATACATTGTTTTTACATTGTTTCTTAAATGGAGCGCATTTCCTTATGGACCACCTAACGGGCATGGACTAGTACAATATAAGCCTCGTTCACACGATACCTCGTATTTATGAAATACTGTATTTGCGAAATACCGAATCTGAGACAAATACGCGACCGAGCGTTCACACGCTGATTCGCGGCTCCAGAAATGCCGTATTTGCGACCTGCGAGCTGCTTTAGTACACTGGAAAAAAAACATTGCGTCGTGAAGTAATATAAGCTTTAAGCCGCGTTCACATGCACGTAGCAAGAAATCCGGTGTTTA